TCCGGCGAGACGCATGAAGGGTGCGCTGCATCCTGCTAAGGATTTTCGGCATGTTGTTCTTACTTCCTTGCGTACGGATGACAGCTGCGTATGAATTAATTTATTTTCTGGTGCTTTCACTTCCAGAGACAGTTGTAAGCACTGTGTAACTGCCTCGAGGGTGCTTGACCATTTTAACACAACGTGGTGCGATCATCCGCCTTGCGCGGAGCGAGGGTTCTCCACCCCGCACAACACGATCTACTCGACCACCATTATGGTTCCCGCCAAAAAAAAAAAACGGAGGTAAAAAAAAAACGGTAACCTGGTTGCCGAGTTCACGAAGTGAATTGGCTTGTTTTACAACGTCGTTGCCAAGCGACGAAAACCCAACCCCGATAGCAAACACCGGGGGGGGCGCGTTCAGGAGGGGGAAGACTACATGCACGCGGTCGGTTCGGGGATTTTGATCATAGACCTTGTTTGAGGAGCAAGGAGCAAGAGGGTTTTGATTGTGGCTGTAGGCTTCGTGTCCATTTGGTTCGGGGGAGTGGGTAGGGTGCCAATGAACGCTCACTGCCACTCCCTTTTCGGAGATCCTGACGAAGAGTGTACGAGGTTGCTGAAGACGGCGCCGGATACTGCGATGCGCCCATCTCACGACGCCAATCCCATTGATCGTGGGTTGCAACTCCTAATACCACAGAAGAGAAGCTTTCGGGAGAGCACAATGAGTGCAAAATGACGAGCAGGTTAGACACACATGCCTTCGGCTGCACACAATAAGCAGCATTGGGTTGTATCCCAGCCCTACTCGCAGTACGGTGGAGGAAAGCGACAAGAATATACCTAGAAGCCTGGGGCATACTCAAACAACAGTGAGAGGGCAAGCTGCTTTTGTTCTCGTCATTGGTATCCACCTTTCGCCGGGGTGTCTGGCGGAACAGCCGGACTCCGCCCTTGAGCTTCTCCGCACCGAGGAAGAGGGGGTAGTTCTCGAAGGGAGCGTTCTTCAGAAATTTCTCAATCTCGTTACCGCCGCCGTCTCTCTTCAGCCACCTATCGTGCGTACGTGCGTGTGTTTGGTTCACATGCATGCGTATTCATACGTCCAGAAACCGCACAGAGATGTGGAGGGAGAAAACAATTTAGAACTCACCAATTACGACCCTCCAAAAACTCGTTGCTAGCCCACTCGTTGGGGAAGTCAATGTTGAGTTCTTCGAGAGTCCACCTTTCTTCTTCGTCCGCGTCGATCGCTCCCAACGCCTGTGCCGACAAAAAAATCAACAACAAGACGGCAGCGACATATCCCGGGTGCGGGAAGCAACAGAAAATTGCATTGGGTGTTAAAAGTACAGGGCCACTGTCGCGATAAGGAGCTAATTTTCAAGTGCGAAATGTGTGCGCATAGAGTAGGCTGAATAGTTGTCCTCTGTGAAATTTAGCTCTTTGGCCGTGGACACACACGAACGTGAACAACCCGCCCGCGGTGTGCAGCGCGACGCGCTTCAACCTGCGTATCAATAACAACTACTTCAAGAAATTCGGTGGCAAAGTTTCGTGAGTTGAGCCTTCTTTACATAAGTACAAGCGTATAGGGTGTATCATTATTCTAGACACGATCTTGTGCAGTGCTTTGTTGTTCTTTTGTGTGCACTGCTGTATCGCGTGAAACAGCGTCGCAGCGGAGCACTACGGAGGCAGCCCGTGTAACTGTAGCCGGCTGCCTATATTTGATTTCTCCTCTTCCTGAGCCAGGGCTAAGATGAGTGGCCATGTATGCATACCGGAGTGTAGTGCCGCGTTCAAGCCTTCGAGATGCTCAGACATTGGTGACTACCGAACGCAACCCCACACCCTAGACGTCGCGCAAACAATTGAAACAATCCAACAAATCCACGCCCAAGAGATTTCACACAGAAAAACGCCAAGAGTCTCACCTTCCCTCCTCCTTTGATGAGCTGCTCGTACCACGCCGGCGCGTGGCCAGCGGGCCTCTCAACGCCCCCTCCTTTGCCAGGGTCTCCTGCTGCCGCTTTCTGCATCCCTCCGGTAACACCGCCGCCACCACCGCCGCCAGATCGGTACGGTTTCTTGGCGGCGATCGGGGTGTCACCAGCCCACCACGAGAAGGCACCGGCCGCAAATGCCGAAGAGTTGTAACCGTCGTCGACGAAAGAGGGAGAGGGATGGGGGCGTCTAGGTCTTGTTTATCCACACGAATTGTTGGAGCGGAGGTTTTGCTTGTTTGGTGTCCATGGCTGTGGCCATACGTTGTCTATGCAAGCTATGATATTGTCGATCCTCGTGTTGGTGTTGCTAGGGGGAGGACGAGGAGATGGGATGCCTCAGAGTTTGCTACCTGAAGTTGTGTGAAATCTCAAGAAAATCGTCGACAAACATGCACTAACCGCCGCAGCTATGTAGACTTGAATGGTTTCGAAACGCTTCTTCCGCCAGCGAAAATCCTTCTCTGTGGCTCTGTCCACCGAAATGGATGTGTCCGCCTGTTGGCGTATGTCTCTCTTTGTCTTTTTTGTCTGCCCATCTGTCTCCCGCTGCCCCGGCTTCCGCCCACCATCAACTCACCTCGTCACCGCTAACCGTCCTCCTCACCATTTCTCGACGGTACACCTGGTCTTCCTCGATGGGGGGCAACTCCAGCCCCGAACCCCTATCACCCCCTCTCATTCCGCCTCCGCCTTGACTACCGCCGCCGCCGCCTCCGTCAGCAGCAGTGACATCCACAGCTCCAACGCCGAAGTTCGGAGGCCTCGCCAAGCTTCTCGTTGCTGCTGGTGCGGTGGCGTCTGCGACGTCTGCGGCGGCGTCCGCTGTCATCGCTGAGGCGTCCCCCTCGGTTCTCCTTTGGACAACCTCGGAGAAATCGGCGGCCTCAGAATCGACCCCTGCCGTTGCTGATGCTGCCGCTCTCGCGCCACCGCGGAGTCCCCGCGTCGACGTGCGACCGCTGTTGTGGTCGTCAGCGGTGACAGTGCCGTCGGTGGCACGGGTTTGGATGTCGGAAGGTTGTTGCCGACGTCTGCCCTGGCGAGGAGGATGTCTGCTGCTGTGCTTTATTTCGTCGTACCTCCCCTCCCCCTCCTCCTCCTCCTCTTCCTCGCTCCCGCGATCGTTGTTGCGGGCGTTATCGTTGCTGATTCTGCGGCTCCCGCCAGTCTTTCGGTCGTCCGGGCTGCCGCTAGCTCTTGCCGGTCGCATCCGTGTCCGGCGTGGCGAGCCCTTCCTACTGTCAATGTTGTTGCTGCCGCGCCCGCCGTCGTCGGCCTTGTCTTTTCGACTGCTGAACGATTGAGACTTTATACAACGACGGGGAGATGCATGCAAGACAGAGGCCGTGCAGGGACAAGGGGTGGGATGCTGCTAGCTCCGTTTCAACCTACGTGTGCGCTTTTTACGTGTGGCTCATTGTCAGTATTGTATCTACCCTAGACACACGAAATCGTTTCCCTAACACGAACGATTGCAGAGCTTTCACCTCCCGTATCAGTGGCACACCGTAAACTCCATCCCCCTTTTCAGATATCCACGTGACCATGTAAATATGCAAGTGTCATGCATTCAGCGATACCCTGATCCCGCGCGATCCCGCCACTCGTTTCTTCACCTGAGGGGGGCAGTACCCCGCGTCGTTCCAGGGCATCTTCGTCGCAACGGCCACGCTGCAGGTGCCCACCACGGGGCTATTCAAGCCGGACATTCGCTTGTCCAGTACCTGATACAATTTGTTTCCCAATTTCATTTTGTCGCCCGTTACCCCCCAGCGCGTCGCCGGCCCCGGTGAAAGTAGAAAAAAGGGCAGAGGCAGGAGAGACGCGGAGGGTGCGGGGTAAGCGTGGAAAAGGGGGAGGAAAGACGGACACCGGGACCGGGAGAACCGCTGGCGACAATTCGCCCATCCGCCCGGATCATATGTACAGGTTCAGTTTCATCTCGAAGATCGGCGCGCTGTCTTTGCTCTGCGAACTGCTGTATCACGAGATGGGAATCAAAAGGACGCACCCAGCACCCCGGGCTCCGCCCGTCCTTCGACCTCACTCTGCTCCCCTTCGGAAAACCAACTGCTGTGCTTACCCACTGACACTGCATGCTTCAATAGTTTGTCCTCCGTCAGCACCGAGGACGCCGGTTGGTCTAGACAAAAAAATCTACCCAATGCCCTCAAGAAAACCAACGTGCACAGGCGGGTAGGGTAGAACAAAGCAACGCACCCGGATACAGAGCTGCGGCGCGAAAAGCGGATCCTCCGGGAGGAGGACCGTGCGGACCTTCCTCTCCGCGAAGTTGGCGTTCTTGCCCGAGGGGAACTTCGAAGCATGAGTCGTGAAGCTGACCCTCTCACCGCCCGAGGTCATCTCGAACTGTACGTACGGTTGCGCGACCGCCTGAGGATCGATTGGTAGATTTTGTAGGTTTTTTGTTGTTAGGTGTCAGGGAACGTGGACGATACAGCGTCCCAGTCAATGGGGTGGACGAACAGAATGCGAACTGAGACACGCAATACGTATTGGCGAGCAGAGGATGAACCGGACGGCAACAGGAAAAAATAGAATCCGCGTAGAACAAACGTACGAAATGTCGACTATTTGTGCACCTATTTTCCGATTTCTCGCCATGGCGTAGTTGACGTCCGTGAATACTGCAATTTTTGTCACGGAAAATAGAGTCCAAAACATCTACGTGTTTTGACCTACGACTTACGAATGCCTCTTTGCCAGCGTCCACCGATTCGCATACTTATCCCATGCTTTTACCGATACGGCAACGTAACTATCATTCGACGAAGACTACGTTCGGATGTGTTTTCTGATCAATCGATGGATCGATCTTCTCTGTTTCACTGTGCACTTACTCTATTTGGCTACGTATTCACTCCGTCACCTGGAAGCCAAAGGGCTTGAGGTCCCGCACCCCGACCGTGACGACCTCAAGGTAGGCCGTGCGAAACGTCGGAGTTATGTCCGGGGCCTTTGGGAACTTGTCGTGCACCGTGCGCTTCGGCATGAGCTACGTGATGAAGAGGATCGCACCCCATCGTATCCAGTTCGTCCGGCCATCCGGTCCGACCCATCCACGCACACATTCGTGCGCCGAAGGGTAGCAGAAAAGAGGAAAGGGTGCGACGGGCAGACAAGGGGGGAAGGGGAGTCGGGGGCATGCATAATTTCCTTCATGTGGCCGTCGAAGGGGTGCTACGTGGGAGGGGGAAAGGCGCAAGCGTACGTGTTATACAATTTCCTCATACCTGTAAGGAAATGAGCGCCTCGCCTACTCCGGGTCGCCCGTTCGTGTCGCGAAGCTTGAAGGGCAAGAACGCCGCAGAAGGGAGAAGGGTAGGTGGGAAAGGGCACAAAACGTCGGCGAAGAAAACACAAACAGCGAAAGGCGATGATCGAACGACAGGGGGGTGGACGGAACTGACACGTTATACCGGTCAAGCATAGCCCGTTCGGCCATGCACGCTAGCCCACGTGTTGCCAATCTTTTCAAACTATCATGAGGGGCTTTTGTCCTATTTTTTTAACACTCGTAGTCTCTCTTGGCAACAACGTCTTACAATATCAAGTGTTTCAACAGCGATCATGTCATATACTACATTAGGTTCGTATTGCTGTACCGGACACCCGCAACACTTCCTTGTATGCCCTAGGGGTTCGAAGCCAAAGGCGTCAAGTCAAGAATAACAACGCGCCCTGAATATAGGGATATGAGAGAGAAATACCTGGTACCACTGGGGCGTGGGAACGTGAGCACCGCTCCCTCTAGAGAACGTCGCCATCGACATGGGAAAGCGGCATCCGGCGACGTGGGTATTGCTCCCCAACACATCCTTGTCCCATACCTTTAGGGTATTGTTCCGTGTTGTGGTTTAGAGTTGTCGGCGGCGGCGGGTCCACGGACGTCAGAAAATGTTTCGGTCAGTTTTCCCGAAGGACAAAGCCGTCCAGAACGGGGAGTGACAAGAAAAATGACTCGGTGCGTGGGACATGGAATCAATGATATTGATGTATATTGTAGGCATATCGGATCTCACCCAGCCTCGCCGATCTACAGTACGTGAACGGGTGATGCAAGTCCTGCAGGCCAAGCAAGACCTGCAGGCGAAGCTTGTCACAGATGAGGTCAGGTTCGCGAGGTTTGTTGAGTGAACGCCTCACACTTGATGATTTGTCATTGCTGTTTAAACTTTCGAAACTCGTTGCACAGCAACAATCCTGACGTGGTTGCAAATACTGATGATGAACACCTCGCCATTCCATCGTGGGGTGTAGGAGGCGGAATATGCCCCTCGTGCCTCCAGTGCGTGTTTGCGAGCGATCCGTTCATTTGTGACAGTTTCGACCTCACCTCAACCCTGATCTCTGGAGCGAACCTCAGGTCTTCGGGGAGCATCTCGTGGAACTCCACGGTCTGGTAGAAGCAAGGGTCTGCCGTGCTACCCTCGTGCTTAGTCTTCTGCTTGCGGCCCATGAATCGCACCTATTGCATCACATCCACCCATTACAAGGCGACGTTCGCCGAGTCGAGTTATTTGCTGAATGGGAATTAATATACATTCACCAGGCAAGTGTCACTCAAACCCAGTTGTCTGTCTTCGCCCGAGCAAACGGAGGAGGAGAAATGAAACCAAGACTTTAAATGGGGAAAGGCGGATAGTTTCGCCTGGGAGCAGCAGAGGTCACGCACCTCTAGATCTTAGAAGTAGCGAATCGCAAGCCGGGCCTGAAATCACACCGACATCGAACGAATGGGGGGAATGCCCACGCCGCACCCATCCCGCATTCCCAACGGCAACCGACCTTGATGTAAGGGTCGAGAAGCCCGCTTGCTTCCGAGCTGGGCAGGCCCCGGCACTGAAACACGTGCACCCTGAGACAGTAAGGCTTCTTTTGCCCTAGCACTCCCTGCGCCACCGTTCCAGCCGCCGATGCCGCCGTGTCCGCCGGAGTCTCGCCGGCGTCTTCCTCCGCGGTGACAGCAGCGGTTAGGTATGCGGTCCCGGTAGCGGGTTGCTGCGGGAGACGATTTGATGCGTTTTGTTGTTGGTGCTGTTGATGGTGGTGCGGTTGTTGCTTTTGTCGTCGTCATCTGGACGTTCATCATGTGTGTGGCCTATGGTTCCTTCTCTTTTTGGCGAAGACACGATCTCCCGTGATCACATCAAGGGGAAGTAGAAGCCCCTCAAAGGAACGAAATTCGAATTCGCTGCTTCCTCTATAGATGAGCCACGATCGAAGCGATAAGAACATGGAGGCAAATCAATATGACAAAACAATACCTGGTACATCGGCGAAGACACGATCTTCCGTGATCACATCAAGGGGAAGTAGAAGCCCCTCAAAGGAACGAAATTCGAATTCACTGCTTCCTCTATAGATGAGCCACGATGGCAGCGATAAGAGAATGGAGTCATATCAGTATGATAAAACAATACCTGGTACATCAATTGAGAAGGAAGATTCCCAGGTCCACTCTGGGTTGGTGACCATTGTCAACTTCATTCACAAATGATATGTTTTTTGCTGGTCGCTAACAAAACTCTCACGTTCCTTCGTCGAATACCTTTGGAGCATGTGTTTTTCTCTGGTGTGTGCTTCCAGACTCTCACTCTTACTCTGGCGCTGCTCGTGCCTGACGCACCCACCTGAGAAAGCATCAACATCTCTTCCCAAGGGTTATGCCGGGCCATGGCATCCTTCCCGAGCCCCAGCCGAATCAGTAACGATCCTGGGAAATTGTCCGACCCTACGGCCCGTAGCCCCTGCCGCGTCCTGTCCGCGACTAATTCTTGCCTGATCGATACATTTCGTGGGACAGAGCGGGGGGGGGCAATGCAACATGGTCGGGTTTCCTGAGGCACCGGTTCTTCGCGGTGTTTTCTCTAGACCCCCTCGGCTTGCCCCCACCAGCGTAAACTGAGGGCTAGATAAATCCCGTGTACTTCAGCGCTAGAGTAAACTATGGTTTGCACACGTTGTCTTCGCTCATGCCGTACGACCGATGGTCTGTCTATTCTGCTTCGCTCCACAATAGACTACTATACACTATTCTTCCTGTCGTAGTTCCAACGTGAGTGGGGGGAGGGGCCAGCGACTCCCATGGTCGGCGTAGTCCTCCTCCTCTAATGATCCACACAGTTGTCCCTTCTACACTGCAGCAGCGATCAGCGGTTGTCTACACCCTAGCAGGATTCCTCCCTACATTGAGGTTCCCAGGCTACGCGCTCTTACAACTTGTAGCCCGGGTTGAAAGGGACTGGAAGAGTGGTCGCAGCAGGTTGACCATACGTCCAAGGTCTTCACATATTATTTGCCTAATGTTGGATGTTGGTAGCTTACAAGTCCTCACCAGTAGGGATCTCCCCGAAATCGCTTCGACATAACTTCGACGGCTGGTATTCGGGCGTAACTCACACGGGACTCGGGCATATCTCGGACCTGGACACCCGAGAAAAGTATTTTAGTTGCGGCAGCGGTTGGAATGCAGATTGGACAGCAGCAATGGAACCGGATGAATGCACGTTGTCTAGACAGTAGTAACGTTGGTGAACATCGCAAAAAAAAGGCAAGGCAGTGCGAGGAGACAGAACCAGCACAACTTGACATGGTTTACGCATGGCATGGAGTTCTTGTTTGCACGGGGTACGCTCAAACCGGAAATCCTTCCGAGGCGGCAAGGAACAAGGAAGGCATCGTAGCTCAAAGAAACCACGGCACAGAGCAAAAACAAGCTATGTAGGCTCCGGCACCGTAGCATTGAATGTAGGCTGCTTGTTGTGCGTTTTTTCCCTTGAACGTCCTCTGACGCCAAGCAGGTGAACCCGAGCCATGTGACGTCGTTTTAGCCCCCCTTCGTTCTCGTACTCTTTGCCGACCGACAGAAAATGATGAACTCGCCCTTGCTGGGATCAACAGTCATCATCACCGACAGCTGCAGGGAACACTATAGCCACCTTCCCTCTGGAAAACATGACAATGCTCGCTCGCTCACCCAAAATGATCGATAGCCCTGCCTGAATTTGGTACTTCCCGAGATGCCTCACTCACCAGGTACACGAAGATGTCCGGAATTTGCGCGGGGTCAGCAGGAAGTTCCAGCATGTGCAACTTTTCACAAGCCATCAAAGGTGAGGCACACAGGTGCATGGGAGCAGCGAGAAAGATGTGGGTAAACGACCGAGTGAAAAATGTATTTCGGCGATACTGTGATTCCTCTACGAGAAGATGGGGCACACCCTGCGGTGCAGTGTATCCAATAGGCGCACCGCAGGAGGAGGAGGGGTCTATCACTACATGCGTGGTGGGATCCCAGACTCTTGGCATCCGCCATTGCCAAGACGGCGGACGTATGAGCTTTCATCCACAAGGCGAGCGTTGATTGCATCCGAACGTCACTATGGGCTTTGTGTGAGTCGCTTGTGTGTGAGCATTGATCATCTCAAACCAGAGGGAGGGGGGATGACGATCGTGTGCCTGAGAGGGTGTCATCGAGCACCATCCCATGGTCCATAAACGAGTTCAAACGCCACCAAGATCAAGCTTGCAATGTTGGGCCTTTGGTCCCCCGGGACCCAAACCAGTGAGCATGGATACGGTCAACTCGTTCTTGATAGATTCTATTCCCTCTGTGACAACCTCTTCTCCGCGATGTGCTTTCCGCCATTATGCACGGCCATAATCACCACTTCAAACCGATAGCTCTTTTTCTTATGACGGCATGTGTTGTTCTCCTTGAGCGCAGCAGATGCGTCAAGCACAAGTCAGCCGACGAACCAACCCCTTCGCGAAATGAAAGAATCTCCTGATCCTCGACACAAGAACGATGTCAATTCTACACGATCCCCTTTTAACTCTCTACGTGGTTTACCTTTGTCCTATCACGTATAAAGCACTCGATGCATTGCGTTGTTCCCCGCCATACCACCAAACAATGCGTATGCGCCTCCTGAGACAAGCAAGTTTGCTGCCAGCTGCGCGGGGTATGGCATGTGGTGTTTTCTCATGTGTTCACACCTCGTCTCCCTCATTCCACTCCACGATGCCCTTGCGGTTACTCCTTGCCCGGAACTCAAGCTTGGCCTGTCCTAGCGTCACCACGACTCTCATCTTGGACGCGCCCTGTAATTTGGAGCCAAGTTAAGGGTAAGGTCTAATGGCTGGTGTTGAGCTGGGACTACCATCCGAAAAAGTACAATGCCTGAGTACATATATGGGTTCAGGACTCCGGCACTGTTTCGTCGAAAACGTAGTGCTACAGGCAGGGCTGGGGAAACGGCAATGACGCACGATGATGGATTAGGAGTAGAAGGGAAGGAATCCCAGCGTGACCAACAGCCACCTCGACCTGATCCTACAAACATCGTATGAAATTGTTAGGTTCCAGTTGTTTGGCGTACACCCCTATTCAGCGTTGAGATCTGAAGAGAATAAGATGGCATACGATGGATGTCAGGACACGCCCATTCCTGAAACCTCCCTCTCACAAAGTCAACCAAGCTGTTTAAGTCAAGCATCTACACCTCGAAGGCCCACTTCGTGTGTGAATTGGGCAAATTTACCCTCACCCTGTCATCTTCGCTAGCCACGACAACCTCTGGTGAGTTCTTCAGTACACGGCAACCAACCCTGGTATTTTACAGTCCAATGTTTAAAATCAAACCATACCTGGGCGTTGGGGAACTTGAAAACGGGGATATCTGACCCTTGAAGAACCAAAGCGCGCAGAGTGTACTTGGCGGTTTCTGGCATGATCGCCTCAGGAGGCAACTCGAAATCCATGGCGCTTTCGATAATTTCCGTTTTCGGTCAAAGGGACGGGAATGGGCGGGAGGGGAGTATTAATGAAAAAACACGTACAAGGGAACCAAACAATTGCCTATATTTAGACAATCGGTGGAAACAAACGTTGCTTGATTCGAACTGTGGTATGAGTGCGTGTTCAACGGTCACATCGATGGAAACACAACAAAGGCAGAGATAGCTGTCGGATGGCTGTAGCGATGTCTTCGACTTGGGGATGTCGGGCTTTTTTCCGTGCTCGTCCCACTCCTGCGATCGCAACAGGCCTAAGGCAAAGGTGCTTCATTTGTGTCCAACTCTCGCCGCTGTCCGTAAACGGTCGTGCCAGACCCCGACCCCACACCATCCCTCTTGTTCCACACCCGTCGCCCCTGGACTGAATCGGCTACTGTCCCTTCCAGAATTCACCTTCGCTTCCCTCTGTTTCCCAGCTTTGAGGGCGGCCGGGGCTCCACTCTCATTGCCACCAGTAGCCTATGTTATGGTGGTAACATAGTGTCCGCGCGATAAGTTCAGATCAGATGGGAGAGAATGAAAAAGGCGTGTGTACCGATTGTAGAAGAAGTTAAGTCGATGACGAGGTACATAGACCACAGTAAAACGATTATAACGACTGTTCCAGGTTGCGAAGGACAATTCCACCCTCAATCACACCGATCCGCCGGAGAAACACAGCCTGCTTCTTGAGGCAACGCATCTAGGAGTTATAAATGCATCTACATTCAGGACCAACAACAACAACAACAGCAGCAGCAGCAGCAGCAACAACAACAACAACAACAACAACAACAATACCAATTTAGAAATATCCATGGCAGGTACCTGCCACGGTAGGCCGACCCTCTGCTCGGGTAGCGATTCATTATCTCCGCTTCCCTCCCCTTGCTTTTGCCGGCGGGAGCCCCGTACAGGTTGATCCACAGGGGGGGTGGCCCCGGGTACTGCTTCACGCGACGTCCGAACAGCCCTCGCCTGTTTATTGATGTGTTGTGTCAAAGGGTCCTCGTTGGGATGTTCCACTTGAAGTGGCAAGTGCTGGGGCTGTTGCTGCGGTTGTTGTGTAAACATGGTGATTGTTTTCATTGATTGAAAACAGCAGCGAGAACATCAGTATTGCCAGCAACGTTTAAACCTAAAATATATCTTCTACACACCATTGGCAAGAACGGAGAAACGTGTCCGTGCGCTTACTTTTTCTCCCCCTCGCCAGCGTTCTCTCCACGGGGGGTCGCGGCGATGGCGTTGAAGTCGAAGTAAGCATGAGCGATGATCTCTCTCCCCGTCATCTCCTTGTGCCACACTGACAAGTCGATAGAGGTGGAGTGGGTGGGCACCATCACCGGCAACCACAACTCCTGCGTATCGCCATGTGATGAGAGCAAGGACCAGACGGTGAATGATAGAATGCTCGGATGAATCGTGTGCAACTGTGAGAACGTAATTTTCGTTGCGTACTAACGGGTGGCCGAGCGGAGGTGTTCTGTTAGATGGGGTTGTGTTCAAGCTCATGCTCTTGCTGTTGTTCATGCGTTGGAACTCATTGTTGTTATCGCAGTCGTAGAAGCGTGAAATCGATGCACTGAGTTTCCACTATTGCACGCAAAGATTTCGTCGAAGTACGAGGAACATGAAGTAGTGACCTTAGGAGAGGGCCCAACGCTGACGTTTGGTTTGTCTTCCGCTGCTCAGTCCGAACACGTATACCTCATGAGATTACTTTTGTTGCGGAGCCTGTCGTCCAACCTCTTCCCCGATCTCCCTCGTCAAGAGGACCGCGAGCAAGAACGCTGTTGTTCTCACGTGCTTTTGATCCCGCTGCAAGGTTGACATCTTTGCTTGGCCAGTCACTGACTGTAACGCGGTCGAACCCAAATAAGGTATAACACCGACGATGAGTAGAGTGCGTGTTCGTGTTCTTTTCCTCTCTAAGTGTGGCATACTTCATTGGTGAACTGGTTTTCGTGGTCAATGCTAAAATTACAGGATTACAAAGGCAAACAAACCTGTGCCCATCCAGGGGACAAACCGTCGCGTCCTTTGGCTTTTACCGCCGTGCTGCGAAGGGGAGGGTTACCGGCGAAGTCCACCTGTCGATGTGGTCGTCGCCGTCGTCGTCATTTTCGTGGTGGTGTTGTGCCGCCAATGTTTGGGAAGAAGTCGCGCCGAGGACGCGAACAGTTGGGCAAGACGCCGTGAAGGGAATGGTGAGTGAGGCCTCACGAAAGGAAGACAGCATCTAGTGTTCCCATTTCGTGTACGGGATGCAGAGGTTACAAGAGCATCACGTTGTTGATCGATACGGAACAGGCGTCAGTTTTGTTGTTGCCTTTTCGACCACCCCTCTTTCTGTATCTCTCCGTCTGTTCCTCTCTCCCTGCCTGTTGGCTATCTCCCGCTCCCTCTCTGCCTACGTCTTCACATACAGACGTCTGTGTTGGCACCTTCCTCATATTGTATGAAGTACATCATTTTCACACATTTTCTCCGTTCGTCTCGTGTTTTGCGCACGCACCTGAACAAGAGCGTTCACCGACGGAATGCCGACCGAAGAAAAGCTAGGCAGCCCTTGCGCCGAGAACACGTACACCACCAGAAATCGAAGTTCTTGGGGGATCAGGGCCGGGCCCATGAGCACAAGACCTCCCCTGCCCCCACCCCCGGTTTCCGCCTCTTTCGCCAACTCCTCCTGATACAGGTACAAACACGAAGCAGATCGCTTGTATCGAACAGAAAAATCCGCGAAATTTACCCCGTTTTTATGTGAGCCGGGAATTCCATGCGCGCATACAACGTATGAGGTATTTCCTGGCATATTGTTGCCCACGACCGGCGGTCATCACGTGACGAAAGTGCGAAAGCGAGGGACACCACAGACGGGAAGAACCTTATTGGCACCGAAGGACAAGGAGGCGAAGTCGTTCGTGTGTGGCAGGCCCGTGTTGAAGGTGCAAACAAACATATGACCCCGAGTCCAGAGTACAAAGTTTTACGTGAAAGAGGGTCATTCCTGCCTTTGGCCGTCCTATTTCTCCTGTCTCGACCACGTAAAACTCCGGTAGTCTGTCCCCCAGGCCATCTAGTGGTTACCTCGCAACACCTACTAGGAGCACACGTTGTGGGTTCGATTCCCTCTCTGAAGGTGTTTTTTCCCACAATTTGCAACATGATGACGATTAGTTTCGTGAGTAGTCAATGTATACTCCGACTGCACGGTCGACGAGGGCAAGAGATGGCTGAACCCTGTTCGCGAGATACACGAAGGGGAGTACCGCAGAAAAAAGGTTTGATTACGATGAAAAATAAATGAACATATCTGGGAGGCCCTGCTGACCACAACCGAGGCATCGCTACCTGCATCTCCTCGACCATGTCGTGCACCCGCTGCCGGTCGCCCGGACCAAGAACGGTAATGCTCAGCTTTAGGAAACCCTGGACGCCGCTTTCCTCCCCGCTCTCCGCGTCCCGCAGCGCGACCCACATGCGGTACACTTCGTGGCCCTGCGAAGGCGCAATGATCGCCGTGTGAAGTGTAGGGGGGATTCGACAGTTGGCACGAAAGGGGCTAGGAAGGAGGGAATGGGACGGGAAGAAAAGCGCATTAGCGTTGGCCTCACGGTGAGAGGAGAATATGGAGACATTCGCTGTGACATGCAAACAACGACGGAAAGAAAAGAGTGCGTTCAATCTGCGCGGTCAGGCTTGTAGAACTTTCATGTTTTCCGTTTTGGTGACAATGGACACCCGGTCACGGGATGATCGAGAAAATCAGTTTCAAGTTCACATGGCACACAGGTGTAGAGACCACACAAGAACGACGAGAAGAAACCGGCGCCCGGCTCCTCCGGGAAAGGGAATAGCACGTACCAAACACCCCACACAAAAAACACAGCACACTTCAAGTAGTCCACATTTTTCGTAGCACATGGCACGGAGATGTATCGGAACAGTACGCTACATTCTACACACAATACCGAAATTGGTTTCGAGCAGTGCCGTCGGCCGGTCGTGCATGGATCAATCAACCAACCACGCCCACGCTACGATCGAAAGGACTCGGAATCAGACACCATTTCCACGTAGATCCCAAGGAGGTCGAACTGGTAGCTGCCAATGAGTGAGTCGCGGAGGAACGTGTTGGCGTCCAGGACGCGCAAGTTTACCGTAGCCTGCATCAGCTGGTCCCTGTGAAGCGATTACGTAAACGATTGCAACGATCTGCGGTTATCGCACTATTGCCTGTTGCGGTCGAACCACGCTCCAGTGATGCCCGTTGGATGGCGGACAATATGCGAAAACGAACGCATCAACCATCCCTTCCCTCCATCCACTCGACGTGTACTCCTTTTTCCGCACCCAATTGTACAACAGCACCACCACGGCTTCGGTTTTTGTCGGCGGCACCTGGATAGGTTGGGGAGGTTGAAGTAGAGGACCTCGTCGAAGACCGCCGAATTCACCCCCTTGCGGACCCGTGTATGTTTGGTCGTTCCCAGGCAGGAGGCGTGGACAATGGGGTCGCTGGTGCCCGAGGAGTCCTTTCCCTTGAGGTCAGAGACCTCGATCACGTGGATCTGATAATTTTTGCGTTTGTTTGTCACAACAGCAGCAGTTGTTGCATGCAGTGATGGACATAAGAAAGTCTTTCTCAACGATATGAAGAATTCATTAACTGTTCACAGGAGCCGAGAGGGGAATCAGAGGGAGGAAGGTTAAGCCAATGTCACCCCTTCGGTGAATGGACGCCTGCGGCAAATTCGATTCTATGACGTTCGTAGCAAACGTTTTTTGTGGGAGCCAAACGAAGACCCTCGGTGTCTTACACGTCCACGAAGCCCCTCCGACCCTCCCACACGATACAAGCTACGTAGGGTAGAACTCATCAATGAATACCAAACTCGCTCCTAGACGTCCGCAAGCTTTTATCCTGCTGTATTTGTGTGTTAAGTCTAGCCCCCGCATACAGGTTAATAGTGGTCGCAGCTGTTGAGGTCACTGACAACCCTGGACTTGACAGACACGTCAGTAAGTGAAGAATACGAAACGAGGAATCGCCTCATGCGCTCCCACCGCTAGACAACGCTCGTTTTTTTTGTTGATCTCGTCTTCTCCTTTTGTAACCACACAGGCCAAACTTCTTCGATGTGCTCCCTCCTTCTTCATGCGCTAGTCTTTGCTGTCTGCACGGAGCGCACACCCTGTCGGCTTGACGAAACTCGACTTATTGGAGATAACGGTATTTCCTTCCCCTTCTAAACGTCGGTGCGTGCTTGTGGAATTTTCTGATAAACTCAGCCGCTTTCTACCTGTATTAGGTTTGAGGTATCACCTGCAACTGGTAGTCGCCCGGCCTGACTGCCGCCAGCCTCTCTTCGAACTCCGCCCTAGCAGCCAAGGCCTGGGTCTCCCTTGCCCTCTCCTCTTCCTCAAACTCGTCCACCTCGTCCTCGGCCCCGCGGGCCGCCGCCTTCGCCGTCTGCTTCACGCAAATGTTCAATGTTGTTATCGTCAGCCGTCCACATAGGTGTATCACAAACCAAGCGGTTGGATACACCCAAACGACTCATGGAGACGGAGGCCTTCCAAACTGGACATTGGGGGGTTGGTTGGATCGGCGTGCGGCTCAGTCATACATTGCACGCTGTGTCTGCCCGCCGGCCCGAACTTCCCGCCATCTGTCCTTGTGATCCTCTCTGGTCTCGCGTTGACAATAGGACTCCATGACTTCTCGTTGCGATAAATTACGAAGTTTATTGGTGTATTCCTATTAAACACGAGCATTTTGCAGTACCCCCCATCCCGCCTACGTCTGTAGAACTTGGCGCACAAGAGGGCATTGCTGTTGTACCCGGGGTGTCGACGTCGTTGCCGTTGCGTCTTCATCCAGAAATCGTAGTAGAACTGAACCAATCAATGTGCAAAAATTCCAAAGCTGCAGGCAACATATGTGGCCCCAATGTTTAGACCTACTCCATGGTGTTTCCAGGTCTGCTGACGACTTCCCCGTCCGTGACCATACCCAAGGATTCTGCCGCCGCTTCAACATGTTAGTCTAATGAGTCTGCAAATTCACCGCATATTTTGTGAGGGTCCGCCCGCCTTCCGTGTGATCAGTGTCATGTTTTCCTTAGTCTGGCACGTTGGCCGATGGTTCTCGCCAACTATTTAGCGAATGGTTATCGTTGTAGCCGAAAACTGAAAGGGACGAAGTACCTCACTCCTCTTGTGGTCTTCCTCGTCGTTGTTATCCTCGTACTCGAATTCACCCACCATGTTCTCTAGAGCCTTTCTCTCCCGCTCTCGCTTCTGCGACCGAACGTGAAAGGGACAGGTCTCAAACCAGGGGAGGTATTTGGCGGGTGCAGAACCAAAGTACCACCGACAATGACGACACCGAGAGCGGAAGAAAAGCAGGAACAACGACAGCGCCAACAACAACAACAACAACAACAACAACAACAACAACAACAACAACAACAACAACAACAACAACAACAACAACAACAACAACAACAACAACAACAACAGCAACAACAAGGCGTCAGACCTTGAGCCTCGGCGGCCGGTGAGAATCATCGATGAAACCATGGCTCTTCTTGTGCGCACCCTGAGAACCACCACATAGCGACCAGCCTACCCTTACAAGCATCTTGTTTCGGAGTATTTGTTGTCATATGACATGCAATTATTGCAAGATGTGCACTCATCCCTCTTGTTGACGAGCTGGATGGGTCAACAAGCCTATCGCCCATTTCCCCCCTCCTCCTCCCTCCCTCCCTCCCTCCCTCCCGCCCTTCTTCTATCCTTCCCTACTGTCGTCTGTAAGCCCCGGCCCACCGCGCCTTTCTCTCCCCCGTCCCGCTGACTCGTCAACCCGATCCTTCTCTCACTTTCGCGGCGCCGCCCATGAACGTTGAGGCATTAGGGAGGATGTTCGACTGTCTCCGGGTGTAGTGCATGTCAAAGTGCCAGCGCGCGTTGACCACGACCTCCCCCCTTCCCACCGCGTCAAAGCCCCAGCTGTTTGGGACAGGACGGTGAAAGCCAGCCGCGTTCAAGGAGGCCATCGTCAAATTTTCGTGTCCGGTTTAGGAAAGTAGCATGCAAGAGAGTAACTGGAACAGATCCTTACTGCGGGCGACATCAACAAGAGCGACACCAAAAAGCTCTCGAAGAAACACATTACAGACCTCAACGAGAGTTCTCGGCCTCGAAGACGACCTGCTTTTTGTGACCGTAAGGCTCAAGTTTTATGTTGGACAGGCTAGCGAGGCGCGCCCGTCAGCCTCTCTCCCCGACACCGCATCATGCTGAGGTTGACTTCTTGTCTGGTCCTCCATCAAACGGCGGCACAGAGCCAGCGTCCTCGACCGAGCCATTATGCGCCAACGCAGTACCCCCGATACGCTTGCTTCACTCTCTCGACTGAATCGTGTCGAGGGTATCGTCACCGCCCGGACCACAAGTGTCACTCTCCACATACCAATCCCCCCCCCCGTTGTTGGTGCTTACCGTCGCATGCTAGAATTTAAGGAGCGACTAAACGTTGGCAGCGTCTATCGGAAAAGGGCGATGGCTAGCATCAGCTGAATGAGTCGTCGATGGTCAAAAGACTACGGCAAGCAACAAACAATTATACACCGTACCCCAATCCTGGTCTCCCTCTCGCTCTCAGAAGGTCGACGATTCTGACCATCAAAAATCGCTCACCCATCGTCTAGCAACGGGAGCCAGCGCGTGAGGCTCTCTCCGGCCTGCGCGATCTCGACCATGGTCAGCCTCGCCTGCCCGATAAGCTTGTTTGACATGGTCCCGCTATGCATCACCTGAGTTTCCATGCCCCCGTCCGGTTGTTCTTGAGTCTGTATCTCGTTGTGTGGGGCGCTGCTTTCAATGGGTCGTGTGCTCTTCAGGACCAAAAAATGGTGGTACGTATACAAGGTGGTTGTCTTCGCCACACTTCGCCGCTGCTTGGCGTCCATACTTTCTTCTCGTTGCGGATTAGAGTTACTGGTGCCTTCCATCCAGCATGTCGCGAAGAAATAAGCATCGACTACTTTATCCATCACGTGGTCCACGCGGCACATGCCCCAAGCCACCCACTTTTCCCATTCGCCGTTAGGGGCGATGGGGCTAGTCGGCGGCAAAAAAACACGCGTACCTCGATGAGCAAGAGCTCCTGCGGGTCGACGTTCCCGATCTGGGCCTGGAAGTGCCACTTGGGGTTGTTGGTTCTCCTAAGCGCCTTGCACTGCTTGGCCTTACCCCCGCACCTCACGACCACCAGGGGGTCGCAGAGCCCCTTGGACTTGGACCCGGGGGGGCGAAGGTTGCGCGCGGCTTCCACCAGCACCGTCACCACGTTCGGCGCCTGGATCAGGTTGAGGGTGTGGTTTGTTGACGGTTCGGATGCTGTCTGCTGTCTGACCGTGCGTGCACACGTTTGTGTCTGTGTACTCAAACAACGGCAAGCGAGAAGTTAGCTGGTCTTTCCTTGGCTCAGGATTAAAGATGCAGAAACAACGAAATGGGAGATTTGAGACGGTTGTTTAGGCTGGGCGAACATACGAAGAGCGTAAAAAAGCTGTAGTTTGTCCTGTATGCGGGTGCATGGTTTCGGGACATGCTAGAATTTCCGACCACGTGTCCATGATGCAAAGGGGTACAAGCGGGCGTGCCTGGCTGTTGTTTACCACAATATGGAATTCGAGAGAGACAGGCAAGAGGCTTGCGTACAGAAACTGGTCTCGGGGAGCGCTCTCATGTCTGTCGCTGAAATGAGAACGCGCGGTAGGTTTTGGGTTGCTGTGCTCACCTTGGCATTAAAGTTGTCGTCGTCGTCGCCATCGTCGTCGTCCATATTGATCCTCTCCATGTCGTCTAAGCTGCTACTATCCACGAAGTACGTGACCTGTGCGGCGATACGGTCGGTCGGGTATCCGGTGGACGTTTCTGCCATTAGTGCTCGTCGTGGATGCAAACATCTATCCATCACCCCCGTAATCCTCGTTTTTGCCAACCGCCGATCACCCCCACGTCCACCGGACCGCTCGCGCGACACTCGACGCACCTTGACGTGGACTTTGCCCTGAGGAACATGCCCGGCCTTCATCCCGGGCCCCTTCCGAACGGGGAACCACTCCTGCGTCGAAATTCCGGGTGCCTGTAGGGCCGTGGCCGCGTCTACGATAACCATGCCGAGCACTCGGTCGGTGTGGCTCCCCACCGGATCGTGGTGCTTCACCATCAAAACGAGGTGCTCCATCTGGGAAGAAGAAAAAGTAGCGTTTCTCGTTGTTTGGTGGTGTTCATGGGGTCTATGGGCGGAGAAGAAGTTAGCTTTGTTGCACGAACGTGAGTTGAAAGGCAACCGGAGATAGGACTGCTCGTGTCGGTAGTGACCATGCCGGGAACTCTATTGGTGTGGCCTCTACTGTCGTGACTGGTCACGCCCTCCGGGTTTGACGGATAATAGTTGCACGGCGGTTGACAAACATTGAAGTTGAGTTGAGTTATCAAACGCGAGATTCTATGTCGTGTTTTAAGTCCATGCACCAACAGCCGTCAGTACAACAGAAGTAACAACACAACCTGGATTTCAGTCCACGCTTTTTGTACCTTGTCGTCGTCGATGCACTCCCTATTCAACCCACATATTCTCTCGTCGAATTGTGGTGTTTCCCCTTAAACCTTTCCCTGCGAACCTCTGCTGCCACTCTAGTCTATCAGGTTTGCGAGGCTTTTCTACACACGATCGTTGAGCTTTGGACGGGTCAACAATGCGCTTGCCCACCCATCAACACTACCTAGGTTAGCACGTGGTTGTACTAGAACACCCAAAGAGGATGAGAGGTCCCTCCCGCTGTCTGTCTAGTTATGTATCTGCCTGCCCTCTCTCTCTGGACTAATGTAGACCATGCCTGTATCAAGTTATCCCCATCTGTTGCTACCTCTCACATTACTTAGGCTGGCCTCGCTGAAGACCATAATCTCCTCATCCCACACGGGGTTTACCGAGCCGGTTTCGACGGCCGTCCTTCGCTTTTCGTCTCCAACCTCGACCGAGACGTAGGGGTTGGCCGCCCCCCCTGTTCGCAGCGCGGGAACAAACAATTATCTCGCCGCCGCATGCGTTGGGTACAATGCCAAGATACGTTTTAAGACGTGACCACCTTTTACATAGCTGGCTGACACGTATTTATTGACGTGTGTGCCCAGACCAGTACCCAAATCCAGGTGTACAAGTACGTAGAATGTTGTCGGTGACGTATGGGTCGGTAATGGCAGCTATCGCCTCCTCCTTACTGTCTATTTCGAAGTACAAAGTTAGCCTGCAACCATCGAGGCCCAATAAAAGCGTCGGATGTTGCGCGTTAAGCATGGAACCAACACTGCTCTTAAACTATATGAGAACAAATGCATGCACACACATGCAGCCGAGCACCTCGTATCCCGGTCTAGGCTCTTTGCTTGCAGTGCACACCGTCTTGCATTTCAATGTTGACAACGGGCTTCCATGTTGACAACGCGCTTTCGCAGTGGCAGATTTCGCAGGTTCAGCGGTGCAGTACGCAAGTTGGATGCTAACCTTGAACTGCCAGAAGATCCTGGGCCTCGAGGACCATAACCTCTAGCCGGTCGCGACCCTGTGACAACGCCATGGCTGCTGGATTCCTGATACGGCTGCTGGGCATTGTAGATGGCCACGACACGAGGTTAGGAATCGGGCCACATGCAGATGGAGATAGAGAGGGGACGGAGAGGAGGTTCTTTGGTTGCTATGGCTCGCTAAGGTAGTGCCGTCTTGCGAGACCACATCTGTCGGTCGTCGGCAAACCCGCGCCGATGCACACAACAACCATAGACTAGACTTGACTGCAAACGGCGTATTCGAAGGCGGGTGCAGCGACCCTCCGGAAGGCGGAATTTTTTATCTACAGCAGTAGTTCAAGATTGACTGCAACCATGTTCACCGACACGCGCGTAAGGAAGGCACATGTAGATTATTTGTCCATCGCCGTAACCAGCGGAAGGCAGATACATCGAGTCTGATCAGAGATGCTGTACAGGCTGACTTTTTGCTCGTTATGTCCTCTTCACCTCTCCTTGGAGATTCGTGTCTTGGCCCGATAATGCTGTGGTATGGTTTTCACGCCGCTGTGAGAGCTCGCCCATATCCTAGTACGCGCAGGGGCGGAGAGGAGCCCTCACGTGAGCCCTCGCGTATGTGCTGATGGCAACATGTTCCGCCGCGACAAGATCTAGACTACTGTTTGGATCCAAAAATACTCCGCGATCTATTTGAAACCGGCATCAGCCGTGGAAACCCTGCTGGCGTTAGCGTGCGGAAAAGACTTCACACAACAAAACTCGCCACCAAACATGTGGCACACACCCATACGATCGTGTCTAAAGCAGAATTGCGTGAAGAAGTATGGGAGGGGACAACTATCTGTGGGAATATAATTGTGTGGTATTTTGGGGATGTTGGCGGTAGAGTCTACCGATATGCGCAAGCATTCGTCGAGAACTGCGTAAATAAATCCGTTTCAATTCTTGTTCCGGGTGTGATTCGGAAAATGGGAATCATTTTCTGGGGGTACGATCTGCACTGGCTTGCTCTTCCTCTTGCTACTGGCCGCATCTGCGAGCAAAGCGAGCCAGTAAGCGCGTCATCAAGGTGTGCTAGACTCAGCTGAGGCCCCATCCCGTGCAGATTGTTTTCAGTCTTTTCAGGATGGACGACGACACTCGCGGGCAAGAACCACACCCAGAGAGCCGGTCATGTTTTTTTTTTTTTAAGCACGAGCGAGGGCCACAATGGGTGACATCACTTCCACTTGATTTCCTGCCCCGCTTCCCCAACCAACAACCCTTCGCTCACCGAAACCACGTTGACGACGGCGACCAACATCTAGTATCCCTTCCGTCGCTAACAGCAGCCAGAGAATACCCCTTCTGGATCCCTCTAGCACGCTTTCTCTGCTCTCCAGGAGAGCCGTGTGCGGTGGCGGAACTGCTGCTGCTGTCCTCAAGAAAACCCATTCCTGTTCGTACAAGCATGACTACCGGCACGGCGGGAGCAGGGAGGCAGGAAGACCACGTCTCGGTAACACACTCCTGCCTCCAGCTGGGCGAGATCGTGGAGGCCGTGGCCGACCCCCGCGCCGGAGCCATCTCCACTTTCTCGGGAACGACTAGAGACAACCACTACGGTGAGACAGCGAAAGAGAGAGTGGTTGTTCAGAAGTCACGCGGGATTGGACACGCCCGCTTGAATACAAGGTTCTGCGCAGCTGAGACTTGTTATGTGGTCCACGCCTCGAACAAAAGGTGTTCCTCTCCGCCACTGCTGTGTTACCATTCCCACCTCTTTATGTATCGCTCGCGGGCTATGTGTTCTGTTACGCATCCGCGACTGGTTTGGTACGTGTGTTTTGCAGCACACTTCATTTATTCTGTGGCACAGCGACGCTCTGTTTTCAGCAGAGCAGCTAGTTTTTAGCTTGTTCAGGAACACACACAATGCGAGTGCGGACATTTCGTAGAGCGCCATCTGGGCGGCACCGTTGAAAAGAGGTGAACCTTGTGCGGGAATGGACTGGACAGTTGTAATGCTTTGTGCCATCTCTTCCGCGAGTGCAGATCTCTAGAATTCGACAATATCTGGCATTATGCGTATGCATGTGTACTTGTATACAACAAAAGCGTGTTCAACGTTGAGCATTGACCGAGAGCGGCAGCATCGGATATATTGAAGCTGAAAATACGGAGTGATATTTTGCAACCATGATGCTTTTTTTCTGGATATACCCAACGAATCCAGCTTTGAGATAGATTGGCAATGAATTGACTGCGTTTGAGAAATCAAACGAAATTGCAGCAGATGTCGAAAAACGTGCACACAGCGGCAGTTATTGTAGCACACGCGGCTGCAGGTAGCCTTGATGCTTGCGCTTGTGCACCGCGCAGCACGCGGCATGGCGGAAAAGCCGGCGATACGTTTGACGGTGATCGGTGTCGGGGGAGGAAGAATCACAGCACGCCGTCCAACTTAACGTATGGGGCCCATCCTTCACGCCTGCTGCCGGGTGGCGAAGAAGCCCGCTTTATTGAACCCAGGCGGGAAAACATCCGTACAACACGTCTCTATGGGATACGGGAGGGGGAGGGAAGGGGTCTTCAATATTTCAATGGTAATTTTCATCCACCACGATGTACTTCGCGGTTGACCATTGCAAAATCATCAGTCGAAGAGCGGCAGAGCGCTTCTAGAGACCGTTTGAGGCGCGCGCGTGTACAGCCATGCCATCTGTGGACTCTCGACGCTAAGCAATGTTAGTAATCGATGTGAAAAACAGCGGCGTTTAATACCCGCGGGACGTTTTGGAGGGAAGAACCGAAAGTCCCATCGTTGACAGTGGGTAAAAAGCGCACGCCACCAGTTGTGAATCCACTTCTGTTTGTTATTTTTCTATTAGCACCGAAGGCGTCCGTTTCAGGTAGAGGACCAGGACACCCCAATTATTCGAATGTTTGGAACGTTTTGCGCTGAGCAGAGACAGGAACGGCGTCTACTATGCCGAGACAACAATGACAACAAGCCATCTGCTCTTTGTGCTGCACACGGTAAAGTAGATACCGCAGGCGGGGTGGATTTCCCGCTGGCGGGGTGGGTGGCGGGGAACCCTTTTGAGTGGCCACGGGATGAGTTGGAGTCCACGGCACAAGTGCTGTGAGCGTTGATTTGCAGTGCAGACACGCGCGCGTTTTGGAGATAGTGATCAATGGTACACACCACTTGTGGGAATATATATGTGTTTGTTTTTCGCCCCCCGTCTTGCTGCACCCCCTGGGGTGTGGTGCAGGGCGGGGGATGCCTGGTCGGCGGGAACCCGGCACGGAACCCTCCGGCGTTGTAGGGTATTCTACACAAGATACCACACCCCGGTGATAACATTTTGGGCTTCAAAAATATTATCACCGGGTGTGGTATTGTGGGGGGGGTGTGGTATCTTGTGTACCCCGGTGATAAAGCCTAGCTCGCAGGAGCTCCTCAGGGGGTGTGATAAACCAGGGGGTGTGGTAGCACATGCGACCACCCACAGGGAGGGTTTGGGAGTGGGATAAAAAAGGGGGTGTGATAAAACGTCGGAACACCCAAAGAGTGTGTTCGGGTGTGTGATAAACAGGGGGTGTGATAACTCGTCGAAACACTCAAAGATGTGTTCGGGGGTGTGATGAAAAGGGGGTGTGATACACTGCTTGTGGAGTTGAACCGCTGCTGCCGCACCCTGAAGGGGTGTGGTATTGCGGGGGGGTGATGGCAATGCCTGTACGACACTTGCCGCTGCTTTGCACTACCACAAAAAGGGGCTCAAGGGGGTTGACGAAACTCTTGGGCACATGACCTCGGCGATGACTCAACCCCCTCAACGCCGAAGAAAGTTCACACACTGTACCGTATGTCAGCAATCGTGACGGCGTGATGGAGCATCGGAAAACGGTATTTTAAATCGAAGGTACCTCGCCCGATATGATGTCGGGGGATGGCCACAAAGTGCGCCATCCGTTCTGCCCCCTCACAAAAAAAAACAGGCTGCTGCGTACCTTGCTGGTAGGTACGGCCAACAGAGAGTTGAGCAAAGCCAGTACACATCGGAGACCCCGAACCACAAACCTACACTACGAAACAAGCAAACGTTGCACTCCACACGGCTAAGAAATCAGCCGACATTGCAATCACGCTCCAAGACGACGAAGGAGAGAAATGCACGCCAAGAGAAAATGAGAAGGACAACACGAGCTTTTCTCAACACAAGTATCGCTACCGATGCCTCAAAGCTCCACGCCCTCCTCGTCGTCGCTGATGTCCACCACCGGCACGCCCGTGTCGTCGTCGTCGTCGATTTCCAGCACCTCCAGCAAGTTCTCGCCTCCCGACGACGGGTCCGCCTTGTCCGCACCNNACCAGAGCAAGAAGAAAAACTCGTGGTGAGAACTGAAAGCAAAGGACTCGCATCTGTGGAAGAGATGGATTCAATGAGTTCTTTGTAAGGACAACAAAACAAGTGTGAAGCAGCTGTACAGCACGGATGGTGCCTCGCCGCAACTGGCTGGCTCGTGTGGATCAGAACCCCGGTGGGGGTCTTCTTCTGTTTCCGTGCCGCCTGCTGCTGTTCTTCTCCTGCACAGTCAAGAGCATTCGTTTGCTTGCGCGTGTTATTCCAATCCAACCTTCATGACATGCCTGATGCAAGTCACGCCGGTCCCCTTTGCTATACGTACGTGCTATCTATTTATTTTTTTTGTCTCCCATCATCAGATTCTGTCGTCTGCCCCTCGGCCCCTGTCCTCCACTTCTACTAGCTAGACGACCCAACCGGGGTCACCTAGGAGGGGGGGGCTGGACCCCCTCCTGCGGTTCCTGCCTGAGGTATATTTACCAGTAGATATATTTGCAGCAGTGTACCTGGTACCCCTCCTTTTTTGTAATTTCGGGTTCTTGCCTATGCCTAACTCCTTTTTGTTTTTGTTTTTATTATTGCTGCGTACGCCGTGTGAAACGTTCCTTTAAACTTTCTCCCGTATCCATGCGGACATGCGGACCAGCTGCTGCGGGCTCTCATGCCTTCCTCTCCGCAGCAAATTTTGTACAGATGGGGCCCGGAGATAAGGAACGTCATAATCGGGTCGAGCCACAATTTCTTATTCTGGGCAAAAGGGCCAACCTAGAAGTCGGTCAATTTATTAAAGCGGAATTGTTGTTCCTCTGGGCTGTCGCATCCTGCTGATTCTCTTACAGTATTCCTGCTGCATTTTCCTATGTCTGATGACGAAGAAAAGAGAACACCGAAAGCCTTCATGCAGCATTATATGGTCCGTGCACAACAATTTGTCCAATCACGTTTTGTGCGATAACTTTTTTTTGAAAAAAAATTGGAACGTGAAACAACGATGGTCGTGACCGCCTCGTCGAGATACGTCGATAGCGGCAGAGTTTTTTTTTTTCTGGTGACATGCAACATTTTTGACAAAAATCATACACGGAGCCCCCCAGAGTGCAGTATACCTCCCCTATGTAATCACGGAACCCCCCTAATCGTTCCCTGGAGGGACCCCCC